TTAATACATCCCCTGCCTCTTCATCTGAAACTATCTGTAGCTATGCTGACAGTAAAGTGATGTGAATTTGTAGCAGAGCAGGAAGAAATGAGTGTAACACATTGCGTCAATAGAATCTGAATATGTTTACCTACTTTACCAAGTGTAACTAATAACTGAGGAAAAAAATACTACCGTCATCACCTCCAGCACTGATGGTAGGCATAAGATTCAATTCTTACGGGCAAGAAAACACATAGACTCTATAATGTATATTATAGTGTATTTTCTTGCAGGGCCTCCTAGCAGGGATTGTATTTGCTCACCCAAATGAATGCGCTATGCCAAATCTCCAAGTCGTGGTGTTATTTTTATGTTATTTCCAAGATATTTTTATTTGCTAGAGATGACCGCACAAAACGGAGCTGGTGACGACTCTTTTTTGGCTGCTCCCTTTCTGTGACAGAGCTGCAATCACAGGCAAGAATAAGATATTTCTGATGCTGGAGACACAGTTTCCGCATGGATGTGATACATTCCAGTGTAAATCCTGTGTGATCTGGTCTAGGTGATGCTGCTCTGGCAGTGGTTGGACTGGATGATCTCTCAAGGTCCCTTCCAACTCCTGATATTCTGTGATTCTGTGAAATCCACTTTATTGTTAAGCCACAGAGTGCAGATACAGGGATACTGCTACTACTTTACCAACAAAAATGCTTGTGAACGCCTTCAGAGTAATCAGAATGAGCCCTAATTTATCTCTTATCTACTCAAAAATATATAGTTACATGTTCCTACAGTGTCTGTCATTAACCACAAACATGTAACTATCAGTAACTGAGCTTTCCAAAGTCTGCAGACTGGCTCGTGAACTTATGAACCACAGGACAGAAAAACAGAAATAAATGATGTGCTGTTTTTATTTGGCTTCAGTTTTCTGAGTGGCCAGGGGTCAGAATAGGAAGGTGAAGTCTACTTCCAGAACTAAATAATGACAGTTGGGTGGCTCAGGAGCCCAAAAGGTGGTGATGTAGATAGATAATTATAATTTTTTAAAAAGGGAACACAAAATATGTGAGTTATAAAACTGCAAGAGGTGACAGCATTGTGCTTGAAATGTATAAAGTAATCAGATACCTAGGGAGCAGACTGGAGATTTTGGACAGAGAAGGCACTGGCTGCAGGAGAAGAGGCTCTGTCCTGCACCCCCTCGTTTTTTGGAGAGGACCATAACTGTGGGGCAGCCAAAACCTGAGCTTGCACCTCTGCTTGTAGCTTAGCGAGCAAAACTGTGAAGCACAAAACTACCGAGCTCTGAGGCTTCTGATGGGAAAAAGCTTTCTGTGCTGGTTCCCCCAGAGGTGATTTATTCTGCACGAACTATATTGTGTAACACTTTTCTGCCTTAAAAGCAACTCATGCAAAATTAATTACGTTGCACTGCGTTTGTAGGAAAATACATTTTACTACAAGTTAATTTGAAGAAAAAAATATGAAACCACGAATGCTATAACAGAAACGGCTGTGAGTTGCCTTAACAGCATTTATAAATCAAATAACTGTGCAGCAATAAGTTTAAAACTAACCTGCACCAGGCTTTTGGAATAATGTGCAAGTAAACGGGGTTTTGAGTAGCTGCGTATCTTTCATAAGTTGTGGCTTATGCTGAAAAATTTGTATTTGTTGGAAAATACAGAAAGGATTCTTTTCTTTCATTGTTAAGGTTCGAGGAATTTGGCACGTTCTGTTGTTTCCTATGGGTGTTTGGAAGTAAAACGTGGCCATCGCGTCAGAGCGCAGACACTGAGTGCAGACCCTGGGTACCTCCTCTGAGCACTTATTTACTGCTGTTCAGGACAGATGGACAAGGCTGTAGCTGGGTTTAAATTTACTTGCCCTACCAACTCCTTTTCAAAGCCTTTTTCCCACTGCTGAGGTAGCCTTTTTTGTCTGTAAATCGCTGGAAATAGTTTGGGGACGTTTTATAGAGTAACTGGGAAAAATTCTTGAGACAGGTTTGTGTTTCGTCCCCTCTCTCCCCATGTCCAAAAGCTGAAATCTCTTCTCCGTGACATCCCACCTCAGAATTAATTTCTGTACCAAGAGCAAATCTGGGGAAAATATCTCACGCTGTTATTATTTCTCTTTTAAATTCTTTAAGTAACTCAGTGGAAAAGCTTGTGTACACAAACCACTTGTATAATGTCATATCCATAGCAGAGAAAGTCCCCAGAGCAGGTTGATGATATCAAATAAATTATATTTTAATGTAATATTCTGTGTTCACAGTGCACACGTACAAAGCGAACAGCCGGTGTTGCTGACTCTTGTGAATTTACCTCAGGTTTTGCAAGCTTAGGTCTTTTTCTTCAGGAGGCAGCTCCTGCAGTGGATGTCTGGAACAAAATCTCTGGGGTTTGCCTCTTCTATCACTTTCTTTCAATATATATTTTTTTCTGCCTTTCCTGACTGTGGAAAAGCCTGCAGTGCGATACGAATGTATCTCATGGCCTTAAAAACCAGGCAAATATGTATTTATTCTTTTCCTTTAAGCCAATCTTAAAGACGATCAGGACCTTATAGCAAGCACTCAGCTCACTTAATAATATATATGAAGTGACTGATCCTTCCCCAAAGTGCAAGATGGGTAAGGAAGCCAAAGGAGGTAACGTTATTTTAATTTTACAGAATTAATTCAGTTAGTTGTGCCCAATCCAAAGCCTGCCAATGTCAATTGATTGCTCGAGATCCCACCTCTCCTAAATCTCCAACATGGCATTGAGCACAAGACCTCTTTTCCTTTGAAATTCCCAAACTATTGGGATGTATCATGGCTTTGCAGACTTTGGAGCTCCCATTAATCTGAATAGGATTCATATGCAAGAGTGTCATAGAAATTAACACTCTGGACGCACTGACTGGTATTTAACCACATAGCATTAATCATTCAGTCACTCTGCCCGAGTTCCCATGAGGTGGAGAAAGAAAAGGGCTTTCTCTCTGCCATTATGATACAGATTTTCCTTTACATTTATTGATCTGAGATTATTAAAAATGTGTTTGCTAAATCACAGTATTCTGAACTACTAACAATAGGCAGTAGGGCTGTAAATATATGTATTTTCAAATCTAGACTTCCTATTCTCCCCTACTATAAATCCTGACAAGTAATAATTATACGCAACCCTTGGAAATCATAATTACCTTACAAAGAGAAAACAGGCATTAGCAGCGTCACATTGGGTCTGTATCAAAGTTATATTTAATTAAGCAGATTATGCGTAATCCAGTAAAATGGTCTCTCATTTGCCCCAATAACCCCCTGAAATGAAGTTCCCTAGCACTAACAAGTGTTTACAGAGCAGGAAACTCAACTCCTGTACTTTCAGGGCTGCCTCAGGACGGGATTATCACAGCAAATGAAGCGACTCAGCCAGCCAGGGGAATGTGCATCCAAAATCCAAACGCTTTAGGCAGTCCTGGAAATCTCAGCCTTGCACTATACTCACACCAATCCCTGTGTACTGTGCCAAAATTTAAAGAAAAAGAAATTAAAAAATGTCCATGTGGGTGGCCATGGCCATGGCAATTGAAGACAGATTCCTGAGCAGACCCTTTGAGTTTGCAGTTGCTCCTGACTGTATTTTACCTCTGTATAGAAAGTACTTTGCATTCATCACTCGTAACTCTCATTCCACTGCTACAGAGTCCATGGTTTGGGGAAGGGGTAGAAAATGTTCACGCTTATCCAAAATCAGATTAAAACACAGGCCTGCTATCGTCCCAGCAGACTGCAGTTCTGTGCACCACAGAAGGATTCCTGACTAAGGCTTTTGGTCTAATTCTGTTAATGCATTTCTTTTAATGACACTATAGGAAAGCTTAAGATAAGAAACAGACTCAGTCTTTTTTCGGATCGAAACCTTACTCAATATATTATTTAGATAACCTTTTACAATAACTGCTTAAATATCACTCCATAAATTAAGTAATGCAAACACCATAATTAGAACTGGTATTTGTAGTCATCACATTTGTTTGGGCATTTTGTATTTGTTTCTCCTAGGCTAGGTTTAAAAAAAAACTCTCAAAAAATATTGTGCTGCATTAAGAATGAATAAGTGAGACATTTACCTTTAGCTAGGCATGTAAAATGCAAAAACACCCTTTAAACAATCAGGAACGCTAGAAATCTGGTAGTATTCCACCCTGCGTATTTCAAAGGCATTAAATTAAACATTTGAAGCCAACTTATCCCCCGGTTCCAGCTGTTGCCAGGGAGTATAAGGGATTTTATAATTCTATTTTTTTTCTTGTACCAATACAGTAAGTCTCAAAACTCTGTTACAGAAAGTTCCTGCAGACGCAGATTCCCATTTTCATGGCAGGGAAGAGACGAACGCTTCTGCTGAGGGACACCGAATCACAAAAACTGTGATGAAAATATTTATGAAGTGTTTTTTCAGCTGTTGTTTGTGTTGTAAACTTCCTTCCTCCCCAGTGCTCTCATCCTACTTATGCCATTTGACTGTAGTTTGTATTTTTTGATTCACGTTTTTTAAAACACTTCTCATAGCTAAGACCCTCTGTTTAAAAATAAAAATCTAAATAATTGTCAGGTTTCTGCCCAATGATAAGTAGAGCACAGTTCAGTACATTTGGATGCCAACAGGAATCCGGAGCATTGCAAGGATGCTGAGCTTTACAGAAGCATTAAAATTGAACATCCATTTCAAAGCAGAGATTTAAGTGTCCTGCTGGGAAACAACCACTGTCACCTAAGTGTCAAGAGACATCCTGGGGATGTATTTTGTGTCTACAAAGCAGCCAGGAGGTCTAAAAGAAACCAGTGTTGGCTTATTTATCAAAAACCTGGAGAGAAACAGGCAGGGATGATGACTAATGGGAAGTTCTGGGTATCTCCCAGAGAAAAGAATTAAAGTATTTCTGTTACAGAGACAGACGGAAGTGGCGCCGTGTGAACCAGGCACATCCCCAGTGTGCTGGAGCACCTCACTCACCTTGTCCACAATGCAGATCTGCTTCTTGCTCTGCACATCGAGAATCTCCACCTCAAAGTAAGTGATCTTTGAGTGTTTGAGCGCTGGCGGCGCTTTGAACTGGCCGGCGGAGAGCACCAGCTGAGAGAAGTTGAAAAAGGAGCGCGAGTCGCTGTGGGACACAGAGGGAGCTGCTCCACGCAACGCGGGGTCCCTGAGGCGCTCTGGAGCGCCGGGTTTCTGCCTCCTGTGCATGGCGTGACCCGGCGGCAGCGATCGTCATCGCAGGGGACGGTTCCAGGGGACGAGGTTTGCTGCCTGCATCAGTTAAATACAACCACAGGCTGGCGGGACACGAAAGGTCAAGTGGTGATCCATTTTAAGAGCGCTGTCTTATTTAGCAGGAGTGAAAACAATGGCTCTGTAATCCGCATCTATATTTAACCTGCTATTGCGATGTGCTGTGCTGCTGCTGCTGCTTTTTTAATATATATTTTCATTTAAGCCAGCATTTGAAACAACACATCTAGAGGTTCCCTTTTAGAGGAAGTCGGGTTCTGAAATTCCAGAGCCTCAAAGGAATGGGGAATTAATACAGAAAATTCCACTTAGATGTTTAAAAGTGTCCACATCTACGCATGTGTCTAGGTCCATGTACATGTATAACATATTATGTCTGGTTTATGCACCCTTAATATGTATCTAAAAGATTATTCCAGATGTCATCTATTCCAGAAATACTTACTACGAAAATGCCAAGAAATTTAGGAGTTGCTTGCAAATACAGAGAGGATCTTGTACCCGCTTGTATTTAGCATTGTGCACTCTCTTATTTAATGTGGTAGAGGTTTCCTTGCAGCTCAACTGAAGTTTAAAGGAAATTACAACCACACAGGCACTAATTCAGGGTTTGCATCATTTCACCATTTTTTCATTCTTTCTTGACAATTCATTTTCAGAATGAAAGTCTGCAGCAAAACAAAAGTAGCCTTAATGGTAAAAGTAAGGATTACTTAAAACAACAAATTTTCTCTAAAAGGGCTTCCCCATGCCTTGTTTAAAGGTCCTTTTTCTCTGTATGACTTTTTAATATGATTTAATAGAACCAGCAGCCCTCTTCCATCCTGAGATTTCTCCCTAAATCTCCCAGGGCTGCCCAGGATTACAGAGTTGGACGGGCACCTCAGGTCTCTGCAGCAGCTGTTTCCAGTGGAGGCACCAAGTACGTTCTGAATGCGCGTTAAAATCTCAGGGAAATTACAGTCACTATTACAAAAATCGTATAGGCTCATGACACTGAGGAGAATTAATTAACTGAAAAAAAAAACCTAAATGAGATATAAGTGACAACACAGCTGATAGGCTGCTCTGGGAGGCAGGGTAGGAACAGAGCAGATCTTTCTTCTTTGATTGTGTTATTACTTAGAGAAAATTTTGTGGTGACCACACTGAAGAGACATATGACAAGAAGTAACAGAGAAACAACGGATAAGTTTTTGCAAGAATTAAAAATGAGAGGGAGGAAGTCACACAGCCTTTGAATGCCTTCACAGGCTTCGTTAGCAGAAAGCCCTGACTGTGGGAATGCAGATGTGTATCAATGTTGGTCACCTAATATAAATACGGATTAAATTTCAGCTGTACTGAAATCAGTTAGGCAAAACAAGTCAGCATCTAGAGAGAAAAGCTGTTGTTAGACTCGAACAAGATTATATTGTGACCAAAGAAGTGCACCTACCTGCCTCTGAGTTTAGATGGAAGTTGTGCAAGGGGGGGTCAATACAGCAAACAGAACAAATTTGCAGAAAATCTGGCATAAACTGGTCAGAATGTGGAGAGTGACAAATTATTGGCTGATAAGGGGCTTACTAAAACAGCCAGGTAAAGACCACAGCACAGATGTGTCCTAAAATCCAAGTGTAAGATGCTCTTATTTGAACAGACTACTGTAAGGAAAGTCTGTGTATAAACTGCTGTACAAGAGATGAGACAAACTGATATAATATCCCATTTTAGCTGTAAAATCTATGAATCAGCGAGCTGTAATAGCATACATTAATAAATTTCTGAATTAATTTAAATTCCAAAGCAATAAAGAATAATATTTATAATCATGGCTAATTTCTGTGTATCTAAGGAACTGGCGTTGCACTCATTACTGTGGGTATATTTATAAAGTTATTTAAAATGATAAGATGTAAGCTGCTGCTTCTGGAAAAAAAAAGCTTATGATTTAGTGCAGACATTGAAATGATCAGGATTTTATTACTGACCAGTGAACACTTGAATATCTGAACCAATTCCAGGAAAATGATTTTAAAATAGTTGGTTTTTTTCAATCTAAGCTATTCATATGCAAGTTCAATATTTTGATAAACAACAATCTTTACAGAGCCCAATATTTAGCTGATAGAAACTAGCAGAGCTTCCCTGAAGGTGACTGGCCCTTTCCTCATTGTATTAAATTATGGCTCTAGGATTAGACCACAGCATCACGTCTATAGCAAATGTATTACTTGCATATAAGGTGGGTGAGACCTACCCTACCAAAAATAATCAGGGATAGAGTTACCACTGAGAATCTCCGCTCTAAAATGGAGCAGCATAAAAGCAGTGGGGATTTTGCCATTAATGTCACTTGCTTGAAATGTCATGGATGGGTTTGGATGTTCTGGCTCGACGTGAAGTAATTCAGCCCTTTCTGTATAGAAATGCACATGGAAGGGAAATATTAATTACTGGACAAAAGGCACATCTTCATTTTCAGTATGGTTACGTGCTCCTTGGGTCCCAGCACACAAGGACAAGGGACCAGTCCCATGGTGAGATTTATGGATGCCCATTAGATGGGTATGGGCTGCTGGCATCGCAGCTTTCCAGTGGCAGGGCCAGTGGCCAGCAGTCACCGTCCCTGACCTCAGCTCGTTCTGGGACTCTGAGAGGAGTCAAAGAGCACTCAGCAAGAATTAAATCATCTGTGACAGCTTCAACTCGCTCTGAATTTCCTGCCATATAAGGGGCAGGTATTTTCGAGGGGCCGCAAGGATGGGCATAACTCTTCTCAAACTGAGGCTCTACCTCCTCTCCTCGCTTGGCTGACATGAGCCGTTCTGCACACAGGCAAGCATTTTGTTAAGCCATCCCTCCGAAAGGCACTTTGTCCAGGAGGGAGGGGCCATTGTTTCTTACTGAATCCTGGTATTTTCACAACAAAAGCATCTTAGACTTAGCTTTCCATTTCTGCTTATGCCACTGATTTTCTGTGTGGTGTTAAGGAGCTGCTGTTTCTCCCACTTTCCCCTTCCCTTTCCACATGCCTTCACTGCGAGTGGCTCGTCTTGCACTGTGTGTTTGCAAACAGCCTGGCACAGAGGGATTTCACAGGGTCTCAGCCGGGCTCTGAAGGTGCTTCTGAAGCTCCTTTTCATCTTTGGCCATGTTTTGTACCCCTCCAGCCTGGAGAGCTGGTGATCTCCTGTCAGTCTGCAGAATGTCGGCTGGTAAGTCAGCAGCATCTCTGTCGCTCCAGGTGCTGTCAGCAGCCCCTCACACATCACTTTTTTATCACGTTTATAAAAAGCACTCTGAATGCTTGGTGGAAGCAGAGTTATTCTTTTCCCACCAGCTTTGTAATGCCAAAGAGCTGAACAGTGCCCCTGAGACACAAGGGGAGGGTTTGGTACCACAGGTCACGCAGGCTAAACCAAAGCAGATTCCCAAGGGCACAGGTACTCACTTCAGTGTTCCATTTTTGAAGATTCTCCATTCATTTTCCTGGGGAAGGAGACGCTGGGAGCAAGTGCTCAACTCAATTGCAAGCAAGCAGTGAGATCCCCTGGCTAAAGGAAGGCCAAGCCAATATGTCCATGTGGTACCTGCCATGGCCTCCCCATCCTTATTTAGTTGCCTTTAGTGTAGCTGTGCTTTCAGCCTCTTTTTACTGAGGATTTAAGAATCTGATGCAATGTACTCATTTGAAGAAACACTAAAATTATTTGTTTGCCTGGCTCCTGCCTTCATCCTGTTTACAGTTTAGGTTTACTGGATTATTTGGGGGACTAATGCTTTTACATATTTGTTTTGATTCTGTTATCTGTATCATATTGGTAACAACTAGAATGCACTTCTGAAGCAGAGTGGGTATTTAAGCATGTGAGCCCGGCTGTTAGAAATGAGGAATGTGGATCTAAGATTGCAGTGCATTGCATGTGAAATGCAGTTATTCACAAGTCCCATTTTTAAAGGCTGCATGGTTAAAAAAAAAATTAAAAAGCACAACTGCTGGAACATCTGGGATTTCTTTGCTATTTTAATTAATGCTCAAGTCAGAACTAGACTTCATCAGTGCTAGGGACAGGCAAAAGTGATATACACCAATGTTCTTCCCCTTCAGCTACACCGGCAGGGTTCCTCAGCAGAGGACATCAGGCTTTCAGACCCTGGGAGCTGCAGGGCACAAACCCTGCACAGCCAAAAGACCCACCACATCATTTAGGGGCTATGAGAAGGGACAGGACAGGGAATACCTGCAGCAGGGCCCAGAGATCTCCAGAGGCCACCTTGTCCCTTCGGGAGATGTTTTTGCCGCTGTCGCAGCAATGGAGTTTTGCCAGCAGCTTAATATCTCATTGCTAGCCTGGCTTCACCCTTCTGGCTCTGAAAATTAAAGATGTTGACTTGAAACTTTGGTGTAGGTGGTGCCAATTAGAAGCAAATTCGCAGTGCAAAGCCTGAGCTTATTTCATCCCCCACAGATATCCATAGGAGGCATCAGAGAAATAAGCAAAGCCAACAGACAGGCACAGTAATTCTATCTGCAAGTACAAAGTGAAACCTCTGCCACACAAACACACACCTACTTCTCTCCCAGAATAAGTGCAGCGTGATGCAGAGCTCACATCTGATGACAGCCAGGATATATTGCAAAAGACAGCTGTTGGACTGCAGCGTAGAAGGAGCCTGAGGAGATGCTCCCAGTGAGGAAGAGGCCCCAAGGAATCTTTATAGGTGACCTGGTGGATCAATCTTTTAATGTTATGGACAACAAATAGTACATTTACAGCTGTGCAGCTGAGAATTCCCAGTTCTTGTTTAAATTAAATAAATCAGTGCAGATTCCTCTTGTCATTGACTCTCATTATTTGGAGGCATGTGATGGTCTTTTCCCCTAAATACACAGTACTGAGAAGTACATGACTATGTGAAATGGTATGTGAAATGTCTTTTGTGTTTCGTTAGTTGGTTTGGGGTTTTTT